CCCTTCCGAGACTGGCTGGGAAACCGGGATGGGACTTATCCCCAACTCATCCCCACACCCGGCTTTCTGGAACCTCCAAGCCAGTGCCCACCCAGCCCTCGGGCGGAGAAAGCCTCTGAGTGCTCGCAGCTGCCCCGGTGCCGCCTGCAGGAGGGCGCCACAGCCACCTGGGACCCGCGAGGGAGGGCGCCTCTGGGCTGGGGCATCCGCACTGATGAACCAGGACATTCACCACCCAGCGTCTGCTCCTCGGAGACACGCACCGCACCGGGAGGCCACAGGGCCCCTGCAGCCGCCAGCCCTTCCCTCCCAGAGGACCAGGCCGGCTCGGGCACCAAGTCCCTTCACCCCAGTTGCCATGGCAGCAGGCAGGATTACACACCAGGACACAGCCGAGGGACTTGTGTGCCGAGATTTAAAGGGACCGCGCCTCTGCAGGGAGCAGCCCAGCCCTCACCTTGATCCCCAGGAACCAAGAGGGCGAAGAAGAGGCAGAGGCCTCAGTCAGGGTGGGAACCCAACACCTCCCACGTCTCCCGCCTTTCTCCAAGCCGGGGCAGGGTCTCCTCTCCCTCCATGAGGTCGAGAACCTGCTGACCTGATGGGGAAGGCAGGAGGAGGACTCGCAGCCCCCACACCCTGCAGAGTCCAGGGCTCAGGGCCCCAGGGAGGGAGGGCACGGCTGGGCCACAGGGCGCAGCTGCCTCAGTCTGGGGGAGAGTGCGGCACCAGGCGACAGCGGCAGAATTCCAGCGAGTGCTTAGGCTGGCCGAGTGAGCCAAGGCGCCCAGCCCCGTGCTGCAGGCACTGGCAATGGGCTTGTGGGCAGCACTGACCAACCGGAGGCCTCTAATCTCGGGCTTGGGACGGACTCATTAGACCCAAGCGGCTTACAGTGCTGGGCAGAGACAGCTCAGGGACAGGCTGGCCGTGGATGAGCTCAGGCCACCAGAGCCTAACCTGGGGCTCCCAGAGCGGGACACAGACGGGCAGGAAGCTGTCATCTGTGAGCAGGGCCCACGGCCGTCAGCACTCAGCCCCAGGCCCACCAGGGAAGGCGGGCTGCCTGCCATTCAACTCGGGTCTGGTGGGGCAGACCTGGCACAGGAGGAAATGGGGCTCCGCGAGTGCCAGGGACCAGCTTCCCGCCTGCCCAGTGCCTGCTCCCCCACCTGGAACTGGCCTGGTCTCCACCAGCAGCTCCTGTACCCCAACTCTGCCCACATGCTGGCCTGGGGGCACCACACTGGTGATTCTCCAGCCAGCCTCGCCCTGCCCTGGCCCTTAGCCACTGTGGGTCTCCCCCACGCAGGCACCCAGACTCTGGGGCAAGTGGCTCTTCTTCTTCCTCTCCTGGGTCCCAGAGGAGAAGTACCAGCTGCTGTGCCACCCACCTCCCCACCTGCCACCCTCAAACCACTGAAATCAGCCTCAGCCCCTCCTTACCAGACTCAGAGTTGGTGGCAGCAACCGGCATGGTGAGGTCAGCGAGTGCTCTACGCTGTGTCCTAGCGAGGAGAGGATGAGGGCTCGGGCGACCAGACGCAATGAGCGCTGTGTAGAGGGACCTGCCCAGAACCTGGGCACTGGATGGCGGCAGTGACCCTGCAGTCCCGGGCAGGAAGGGCAGGTGACAGGCACTGCCTCCTGGGGAAGACCAGGGCTCCGTGAGGACCAGAGGCCTCCACCTGGCCGGCATCACCAGCTGACAGAAAGGGTGGTGGGAAGCCGGATTCTGTCCTCCCTGACCACGGGGTGGGCCAGCCAGCTCGGGACTCTGAGTCTAAAGCAGGAGGAAGCTGTCAGCGCTGCAGCTGGAAAGGTCAGAGAGCCAGAACCACATGGGTTCTGTGGGCTTCTAGAACCCTGGCCGGCCTGGCATAGACGTGCCAGAAACACTGTGTCTGGGGCCTTCCTGCTACTTCAGTCTCCCCTTCTTAGCTCAGACAGGCAGGGACGCCCACCCTGAACCCCTCCAAGGGCCCCTTCTGTCCTGGGCCTGTGCTGCCCACAAAATCCTAAATCCCTGTTGCCATGACTACAGGCAGCCTCAGGCAAGGATGGGAGTTGGGGAGCCCATGCTCTGGGGTGGGGTCCCTGGGAAAAACTTCTTCTCCCAGGACCTCCGACCCGGCTTCAGTGAAACCCCCAGCCCTCTGCTCCCTGCCCAGCAGTCACCTGCCCTCGGGTATGGCACTTAGGACCCAAGCCCTGTCTCCCTGTAGGCGGCGCCCTGGGCTGGCACGGATGGCGCCAGTGCCCGCTGCCCATTCCCACTGCCCCATTACCAGGGCGACGTGAGGGGGGAGCAGCCGTGGCTGAGAAGAGACAAGCGGGTCCCAGCAGGGCCCCACCCTGGCCTGCACGGGGAGGACAGTGCCAGGAGCCCGGAACGCTGCCCAGGGCCTGGGC